ACAGACACCCTGGGAGGTAAAAGAAGAAGAGATTGGATTTATGCCCCGCCCTTCACTACCCAAAGGAGTCTCAGAGCGGCTCACAAACTCCTTTCCCTCCCCCTCCCCACAACAGACACCCTGTGAGGTAAAAGAAGAAGAAAAAGAGATTGGATTTATACCCCGCCCTTCACTACCCAAAGGAGTCTCAGAGCGGCTTACAAACTCCTTCCCCTCCCCACAAACGGACACCCTGTGAGGTAGGCGGGGCCGAGAGAGCTCTTGACAGAAACTGCTCTTTCCCAAGAACAGCTCTTATCAGAACAACGGCTTGCCCAAGGTCATCCAGCCAAGTGCAAGTGGAGGAGTGGGGAATCAAACCTGGTTCTCCCAGATTAGAGTCCACGTACTTAACCACTACACCAAACTGGAGGAGGAGGAGGAGGAGGAGAGAAGAGAATGGATTCCTACCCCGCCCTTCACTACCCAAAGGTGTCTCAGAGGGGCTTACAAACTTCTCTCCCTTCCCCTCCCCACAACAGGGGAGGTAGGCGGGGCTGAGAGAGCTCTTGACAGAAACGGCTCTTTTCCGAGGACAGCTCTGACAGAACTATGACCCAGGAGGTCCCTTCCAACTCTATGATTTTTATGATTCTATTCCAAAGCAGCCATTTTCTCCAGATGAATTGATCTCTGCCACCTGGAGCTTTAATCCCAGAAGGTCTCCAGGCACCACCAGGAGATTGGCAACCCTTAGATTCCAAACTAGGGGCTGATCCCAGAAACCAAACTGGGACACGAAAGGGGCCATCTCTGCTCAAACAGTCCAGTACCGAGGCTGGGGGGACGCAGCAGTCAGTCGGCCATTTTGCTCGTGCTGAAATCCGAACCTCTTACACAGGGGTCGTTTCATAGAAAAAGAGCTAGGGGAACTCATTAACATAACTCATTAGCTTCCGACGCCAGGCACACGGCCAGGATCTAAGGGAAACAGCGACAGACGCTTTTAACGTTTGATTTAGAACATCTACGCGTCACCTCTCTAGTAGCTGGCGGTAGCCGAGGATAGAAACCCTGGAAAGGAGGGAAGAGGAGGTTTTGAATTCTGCACTTGTATTTTGAGGCAGATAACTCTTCCATAGGGGGCAACTGGATCCCCAACTGGTTTCACCAAGACACAGACGAGAATAGCTCTTCCCAGTATCTTTGTCTCCTTCTATAGGTCTCAGGCAGCCATCTGCTGGCTATCCCATCGCTTAAGGGGGGTCTATCTGGCATGGACCCTTTCTGTTGTGGCTCCAGCTCAATGGAACGGGCCCCCTGAAGAGGG